GATAAAACAAAAGCCTTTAATATTTTTAACATTTAGATATCTAAATAAACTTACGTGCATGTTTACTTGACCCTAAGACACATATTTTCTCGGTGAAAATTTATTATTCTGATTAAGGGTATGAAATGGGTGATTAACCGTAATACATGGATTTGAACATTGTTTGAATCGCGATGAGATCATGTGCATAACTTTTATATTAAGAGGGGTTTCATCAATTCTACATTTCACTAATTCAAAAGTTTTTTAATCCAAAGAGAAGGCGACCAAAATCAATTGGGTAAGAGCCATCCAAATTCATAAGTTTTAAATATCATTTATAAAACCATGTATGAAAAGTACCAACAGCACTCGAGGCAACACCTGAGTTCAACACTAGTTACACATATATATAATAATGCAGAGTACATTAATATGAAAAATAATAGAGTTATATTGCATATGAGTGTACATGTAATTTGCACATGTGACTTGCTCGATCCATCTATTGAAAAGACACTGGGCACACATGATTCACGTTTCTATTAGAAACAATTCCATGGGAAACGACAACAGTTTTCCTCTTCTGGCGGGCAAAAAATGTTCCAGGAGCAATCACTTCCTTTGGGCATATAGAACTTATAGATCATCTTCTCTTTTTTAGGCGGGGGAACGGCATCACCGGGATAACCTTTATTTTTCCAACACCACAAAACTTGGAATTAGTAGTAATTAACAACATAACTAGCTGATTTATGTAGTATTAATTTATTACAGTATTATTATTAATCTCATCAAATAAACATGCATGTCTGTCTTTGTAGTCTTGTAGGATCCGACGTCTCTGTCTTGCTTTGGCAGACAATGAAGAAGTCTTGATCATTTTCACCAGATGAAAAAGACGGTAATAAATGAAGAGGTCCACATTTTACATGAATCTTGAAACCCTACTTTAGATTGTTGGCTTCCATTTGGGTCGTAGGAACCACCACCGGAAAAGCCGCCGGAAAGTTACGATGATTTTTAAGATTTTTCACTTTTTTGTAAATGAATAATGTTTTACCATTTCTTTAAAAAAACATTCAACCATTGCAATTCGAGAACAGAACATGTTTTATTCCCTAAATATAAGTAAATGGCATCAAGCTTGAAAAGTTTTGACATGTTTAAAGTCTGATAATGTCAAAACATAATCGTAATTTAACTGAATAAAAATATGAAAATCCTATTTTGCAATTCACTATTTCTTCCAATGGAGGATATTTTCTTTATATTTTTTAAAACTGGCGTTAATAAACCTGAATCATTCATAAATTTTAGGGTATTTTAAATCTTTGAAGGATCCATAACGCATTAGAATTCTGTTAAGTACTTTGATACTTTTAATAATATAATAATATAAAATTGATAACAATAATCTTAACTTTCACAAATATTCTCACAAAAAAAACGCATTTGCGTAAGTTCAGACTAATCACACTTTTGCGGTCAATTTCCTTTTGCTAGCCTCTAATCGGTTGATGACATGCTATGTCATGTTTTTATCTATTCTTTGAAATAAACTAGTTAAACAATTTATTTTACCTGTTACTGATCTTCTCAAATCTTCCCATATTCCTACTTATCATTTATCTATTTCTCCCGGTGGTTTTTATTTTATTTTATCCCTTGACACTTTGTAAATTATTTTTTGGCTTTCTTGTTTTAATTTGTCACTCTAGTATGAGAATTTTTGTAAAACTTCATTTTCGGACAAGTTTTCTGCCTTTTCTTCTCCTTCACGTATTTTTATTCCATTTCCCGTTTTACATTCTCTTCTAGTTCATTCCTTTTCATCTTATTTTCAATCTTCCCTACTTATTTCTTCTTGTTACCTTAACTTCCCCTTTCCACATCATCTTATTTATCTAAGTAGGTCCACACATTAGTTTCATCAACTATGAGAAAAACTCTTTGTGATACAACTATGAAAAAATGAATTATAAAAAAATAAAACAATCAGGGATAAGTAAGAAAAAAGAAGTAGAAAAAGGAGAGTAAAAAGGAAAGTTCAAACTCTTTGGCGCTTCATAGATTGATTGGTTGGGCTGTAAGCCATGGATACAGGGGATTTGAGGCTGAATCTGATTCTATGGCTGTTTTGGAGGCGGTTGAAAACATTGAACGGGCAGGGAGATGGAAAAGCTTGGTATAGTAGAGGAATTAAGAAAATGGTCGGTTGAGTTTGATATCATTTTCAGACATACACTTAGAGAAGCCAACTCGCCTGCGCACTATCTGTGTAAACCCGGAACTGATAATATGGAAGTTTATTATTCGGCTAAAGACTTGAATATTGAATTTAGGAAATCTCTTTGGGCAGATAAATGTGGTCTTTACTATTTTCCTTCTTAGATGAAGTTACGTTTTTTGTAATTTTTCGATTGGGTAAGGTCTAGTCCCCCCCAATTGTATTCTTTTTTCTTTGTATTTTGGAAGGGTATGCCCTTATTGAAGAAGTATTGGTATAGTCCCCATCTTCATCAGTATACTATTTAATTTTAATAAAACACGACAAATGTTCCCCGGGATTTGCCCCACTGATTTTGGTGGTTTGCCTACCGGAATTTTTTTTTTTAAAAAAAAAGGAAAGTTCAAATAAAAATAAAGAAGATAACGAGTAGGGAGCAATAAATACTTGAATGAAAAAGAATTAACTGGATAGTAATACATCAAAAACGAAATAGCGTAAAAATATGGAAGAAAAAGAAGACGGGTAGAAACTATTGAGGAAAATTTGTACAAAAAAGAGAATAAGAAGAAGATGAAATGGAAAAAGTGCCGAGATGATTAAAAAACAATAATAGAATTCTTCTAGTGAGGAAATGCAAATTTTTTAAATGAGATTGACTATTTTGGGAAGGTCGATGAAATGTGTTATTATTTATGTAATGTTTCTAAAGAAAAAGTCAAAAAATCTGGAATGATATGTCACGCAAATTATACCGTGCAACCGGCATACCATGAGCATGGTATGCCGGTCCTAACACGGTGTCGTTTTCCCCCTCCCTAAACTCATTACGGAAGCTTTCTTTTTTCTCCGGTTAGTGCTTTCTTTCTTTTTCCTCCGGTTAGTGTTTTCTTTCTTTTTCATCCAGTTAGTGCTTTCTTTCTTTATTTCTTTATCTTTAACTAAGTAAAATACAATTGAATTTACATTTTTTTCTTACATAATTTTTACAAAATGTTATTAATCCACATAAATAAGTATATTTTATTTCATAATTCTTTTCTATTTTTTTTATTCTTTATCAATGCATACCAAAAAATTATTAATCTAAATAAAATAAGTATATTGCAATTAATATTCACTATTTTTTTGTATTAATTTTTATATTCATATACTTTTTTTAATATACTTTTTATATTCATACACTTTTTGTTATATTTTTTATATGGACAAACTTTTTATAACTATTTTTTATCACTTTTATATATTTTTAGAGGTTTTTAAGACATTGAGTTTGTTTATTTTGATTTTTGAAGTTACATTTGATAATATATCATGAAGTTACATATTCTTCTGCGCGAGTTATATCTTATTGTACGCGAGTTACATCTTAATGTACGCGAGTTACATATTTTTATACGTAAAGTTACATATCTATACACACGAGTTGCATTTGGCCTGCCTGAACGCGAGTTACATATTTTTACACGTAAAGTTACATATTTTTGCACGTAAAGTTACATATTTATACACGCGAGTTACATATTTATACACACGAGTTGTATTTGACCTGTCTGAACGCGAGTTACATATTTTTACACGTAAAGTTACATATTTTTACATGTAGAGTTACATATTTATACACACGAGTTGCATTCTGCCTGCCTGAACGTGAGTTACATATTTCTACATGTAAAATTACATATTTGACATAGGTTAATATAATAGTTCGATAATATATTAAAATTACATAGGCAATATTGGTCTCATTTGAAAGATCATGAAAAATAAAAAAATTTGGTATAAATTTTATAAAAACCAGATTACAAATGAAAAAGTTATTATAGTTTTTAACAATAAGAGAAATAAATAAATAATAAGACCCACTATCACTTTAATACATGTTTCATGCGGAGCTTCCAAAGATTCCTAAAACCGTATGACGGTATACGGTGCTCACCGTATACCGGTCATACGGTATAACAACTGGATATGTCACTAGCGAAAAAAGATGAGGTGTAAAATATTATCTATATGATTATTTAGAGATTACCTATAAAGGTGGTTTTGCCAAAAAAAAAAAAAGAGATTAGCTAAAGGTGGTATATATATTATTCTGAAAAAACTGAGATTATTTTTATCAATTTTTCCTAATAATTACCATTTTCTTACTCTCTTTTTAATACTTTTGCATTGATCACGTACATACCCACGTATATATTTGTGATGTGCAAAAATAACTAAAACACGGGATACTTATTAGGGGTTTTGTTGATATTACTAAATAGAAACTCACAGATAGGATTACTTTTAAATGTTTATAAAAAAGAGACCTATGACTTTTATACTCTCCTTAGTTACGGTTGCACTCCCGACCCAGTTACGATTACACGACCGGACTGATTACAGTTACCTGAACCAATCAATTACAGTTATCCGACCTGATTAGTTACAATTACCCTACCCATCCACTTACAGTTACCCGACTCGTCCATTTATAGTTACACAATCCAACCAGTTACACTTAACTCACCCGACCAGTTATAGACTTATAGTTACTTGCCCCGACCTGTTATCCGACCAATTATTGTTATCTGATTCCAATATTTACAATATAATTACTTGACCCGACGAGTTACTAGATCCTGATAGATAATATTAATAAGTAGATAATATTTCCTCTTAATGTATTTAATTAATATTATCACTTAGTAGTTTGAACTACCCTATTATAGTGGATCGGTCCCTTAGGTAGTGGATCACAGTACCAACTTTAGCTTGTATAAATACTAGCTTGTACACTCTGTAAATCAATCAACACAGTTATATATACAAAGTTTTAATCCTGAGTTTGCGTATTCATATTGCTCACGTATAAACCATTCTTTATGGTATCAGAGACGGCAGTAAAGTTACTGTCTTGATCCTTGCGTCCTGCTTAACCAAAGTCAGAAAATCCCACCCTCCATTCCAGCCAAATGTCTTCCTCAATCTCTCTTGATTCAGCATCTACCCAACAACTCATATCCCTCAATGCTTCCTCTCAAATCCCTCTGAAACTCTCACAAGACGGCTCTAACTACTCTTCATGGAAGGCCCAAATCACTAATTTATTCTTTGGATACGATCTCCTAGGATTTGTGGATGGAAGCAATCAGAAACCAGACAAATCCTCACCTACATATCATTTCTGGACTAGGCAAGATCGGCTTGTCCTACTTGCTATTCAATCCACCGTATCAAATACGGTCAGTCCAATTATCAACAGCTGCACCTCTTCTGCTGATGCATGGCAGAAGTTAGAATCTAGCTTTGCAAACAAGTCCACAACCCGTATGCTCTCTCTACTCAACAGCCTTGCTACAACTAAAAAGGCTGGAAAACCAGTGATGGAATATTTCACCATCATGCGTGGCTTCATAGATGATTTGATTACCATCAATCATCCTCCTTCCGATGGACAAATCATGTCCTATATCCTATCTGGTTTTGGTTCAGAATACAAAGAAATTGTTGGAGCCCTACGAGTGCAGCGTGTTCCTCTATCTTTTGAGGATCTCCGTGATCATTTTCTTCATGCCGAAATGCTGGCCGGAGACACTACTGAAACACCTATCACAGCCAATTATACTCAGCGTCGGAACTATAACAATAACTATCACGGTCGCGGTGACAATAGTAACCGAGGTCGTGGTGGTCGAGGCCACCCACGTCAGTCTGGCAGCTCTTCCTCTTCTCAACAATCTTATCGGCATGGTGATTCTCATACGGCCTTCTCCGGATCTCCTTCTCAGCGCCTAATTTGTCAATTATGTGACAAAAGTGGTCACACCGCCAGACAATGCCACTCCAGAGGTGTGTTTTCTCCAACTGCACATGTGGCAGATAGCCTACCTGATTCCGGTAACAATCAAAATTGGCTATTGGACACGGGTGCCACGCATCATATAACCTCCGACTTAAACAATTTGGCTATTCATTCCGACTATAATGGCAATGACTCAGTTCTCATGGGAAATGGTAATGGTATTCCAATTTCTCATATTGGATCCACCGGTATTGTTTCATCTGATAAAAAATTTACACTTAATAATGTTTTGTGTGCACCTCTTATTCGTCGTAACCTTATTTCTGTTAATCAATTCTGCAAACAAAATAACACCTCCATTGAATTCTTACCTGATTCTTTTATTGTGAAGGATCTAAAGACCGGGGTATTCTTGGCCCGAGGCCAGAGTAACAACAATCTATACACATGGCCCTTCCCCTCTCCACCATTAGCAGCCACAGCCACCACCCACTTATGGCATCAAAGGCTTGGTCATCCCAATTCTACTGTTCAGCGTCATATTCTCTCCACAAATAAATTACAATGCTCTCCCGAAAAATCAGTTTGCTCTCCTTGTCTTCAAGCAAAAAGTCATAAACTACCATTTCATGTTTCTTCAATAAATTGTACTAGGCCATTTGAATTTATTTATTCTGATGTATGGGGGCCACCTCCTATTTCTGCCATTAATAATACCAAATATTACGTAATCTTTGTTGACTATTACACAAAATATTCTTGGCTCTATTCCCTCAAGCATAAATCTGATGTGTACTCCGTCTTTAATAATTTTCGCATTCTTATTGAAAATTATTTTAAGACTAAAATATGCACGTTATATACTGATGGTGGCGGGGAATTTAAGTCTCTTACTCCTCTACTTGCTACACATGGCATTCAACATCTCATGTCTCCCCCGTATACTCCAGAACATGTTGGCACCGCTGAACGCAAACACCGCCATGTAGTAGAGACGGCACTCACTTTATTATTTCAGGCCGATGTTCCTCTTTATTACTGGCCTTATGCCTTTCAACATGCCACTTATCTTATAAACCGCATGCCTACCCCCACTCTCCAAAATATTAGTCCATATGAAAAATTGTTTAACCAACCACCTGATTATACTTCTCTAAAAGTATTTGGGTGTTTATGTTACCCATGGTTACGCCCCTACACCACCCACAAACTTCAACCTCGTTCACAACCATGTGTTTATTTAGGCTTTTCCAACTTATACCATGCTCACCATTGCCTAGACCCTAAAACCCGTAAAGTGTATACCACCCGTCATGTTTTATTCTTTGAGGATTTATTTCCCTACAAAAATAATTCTCCACCAAATAAAAATCACTATGACCAAACTCTCCGTACTTTTCTCACCAGGCAGCCTATTCAACCGCACACCGCACCAAACTCATCCTCCACTCATTTATCTCCTCAATTAATTCCTGTTAGCCAACCATCCTTATCCTCTTCTGCCAACTCAATGACTCCTAATTCTCCTCCCTCAATCGAGTTTCCAACTAATACCTCTTCCACCAATATATCCTCTCCCACTCATGATGAGTCACCCCTTTTATCTCAATCAAATAATTCTCACACCAACACGTACACTTCTCCTGACTCTTCCAATTCTTCCCAGTCATCTAGCACACCCATTAATTCCAACCCCCAACCAATTCCTTCAAGACCAGTTACTCGTTCCCAAAATAATGTATACAAACCAAATCCCAAATATCTCTTCCATGTCTCTATTCCCCCTGTCCCAACTACACACAAACAGGCCTCCCTTAGCCCTGAATGGCAAAAAGCCATGGATGACGAATATAAAGCACTCCTTCATAACCGTACTTGGTCCCTCGTTCCAGCTTCCCCCACACAAAATATTATTGGATGTAAATGGGTCTATCGGGTGAAACAAAACCCGGATGGTTCCTTGGCCCGTTACAAAGCACGCCTTGTTGCTAAAGGGTTCCATCAACGTCCGGGAGTTGATTTTACTGACACTTTCAGTCCGGTTGTTAAGCCGGCAACAGTCCGTCTTGTTCTAACCATTGCCGTCATGCACCGTTGGCCCATTCGCCAACTTGACGTCAATAATGCTTTTTTGCAAGGGTCCCTATCTGAACAGGTATTTATGCAGCAGCCTCCCGGGTACGTTGACGCCACTGCTCCCACTCATGTATGTCTACTACAGAAAGCAATTTATGGTCTTCGTCAGGCCCCTAGAGCATGGTATTGTGAGCTAAAAAATTATCTTCTCGCAGTTGGGTTTCACAATAGTAAGTGTGACACGTCATTATTCATCTATACCTCCAAAGGAGTCACTCTTTATCTCTTGGTTTATGTGGACGACATTATTCTCACCGGCAATAGTCCTGAAGCTCTATCCTCCTGTATTACATCTCTTGCTCATCGGTTCTCTCTTAAGGATCTTGGACCTCTATCCTATTTTTTGGGTCTTGAAGCTACACGTACCCGTCATGGTCTCTTTCTCACTCAGCATAAGTATACTCGTGATCTCCTTCACCGTCTTCAAATGGACTCTGCCGCTCCCACACCAACTCCTATCTCTACCAGTGAATCTTTATCTCTTCATGATGGCTCCTCACTGTGTGATATTACCACCTACAGGAGTGCTCTTGGTGCTCTGCAATACCTCGCATTCACAAGACCGGATATTAGCTTTGCTGTCAACAAACTTGCTCAATTCATGCATCGTCCAACACTTAAACATTGGCAAGCTGTTAAGCGGATTCTTCGTTATCTCCAGGGCACTGCTCATTTTGGTATATTTCTATCCGCCTCTACACCTCTATCCCTTCATGCTTTCGCTGATGCCGATTGGGCAGGTGATCCGGACACCCGACACTCCACCTCCGCTTATGTTGTCTTCCTCGGTTGTAATCCCATCAGTTGGAGTTCCAAAAAACAGAATACAGTGGCGCGCTCATCCACAGAAGCTGAGTACCGCTCAGTCGCGTCTACTTCAGCTGAACTCACTTGGCTACGTCAACTTCTAGCTGAACTGAAGATCACTTTCAGTAACCCACCGACAGTCTTCTGTGATAACATCAGCGCTACATATGTCTGCTCACATCCCGTCTTTCATTCTCGCATGAAACACGTAGCTATCGACTTCCACTTTGTTCGTGAGCAGATTGCTAAGGGTCTACTTCGTGTCACTCATGTTCACACCAAAGACCAACTGGCTGATTCTCTCACAAAGCCCTTAGCCCGACAACTGTTTCTTCTTCATCGATTCAAGCTCGGTGTTCTTCCAAGACCGCCTCACTTGCGGGGGGATGATAGATAATATTAATAAGTAGATAATATTTCCTCTTAATGTATTTAATTAATATTATCACTTAGTAGTTTGAACTACCCTATTATAGTGGATCGGTCCCTTAGGTAGTGGATCACAGTACCAACTTTAGCTTGTATAAATACTAGCTTGTACACTCTGTAAATCAATCAACACAGTTATATATACAAAGTTTTAATCCTGAGTTTGCGTATTCATATTGCTCACGTATAAACCATTCTTTAGATCCGATCAATTACACTAACCTGATCCTATAGTGACCATCGCTAGCCACCCACCGCTAGCCACCAACGTCAATGAGTTAGTGCCCCGTCGCCCTCACTCCGACGGCCAGCCTCCCCGACCCATCTCCAACCCAAAGCCGAGTCCCCTCTTCAGCATACCCAAATCCCATGCCACCAAACCCCGCCCCAACCCCTGTAATAGTGCAACCACCTCATCCCAGCCAACCACCACACATCACTGCCTCTGCCTAGTGATGATCGGCATTGCCCCGCTAGGCCCCTCCCCAACCCCCAGTCCTCGCACGACCATAGCCCCCGTATCACCCCCAACCCCAACACATCACCGCCCATGCTAAAAAACCCTAGTTGCCATGCTGCTATGTTAAAATCATAGTTGAATAAATGTCGTCATGGTCAATTTGAAACCCTAGCTGTTGGAGATGCCATCGCCACAACCATCGCCATCGATTCTCGATCATTCAGACATAAGAAAAGAACAATAGAAGGGAAGCTTACCTGGGACGTCGACGGTGGCGACAACGTAATGGAAAAAAGACAGTTGTGACGGGCAAGAAGGACTCTGAAGGAGTCACTGGGATGGATCAAGCTTATGGCATACGGGTCGCAGGCATCGATCAATCAAGAAAATCCGGATATCCTTTTATAGTCAAGGGTGTTGTAGATTTATAGTCCATTTGGTAATGTTTAGTCCTATTTTTGTCCAAATTTAAATCGGGTCCTTTTTTTGTCAATAATGTTATTTTTGATTATTATTTCTGCAAAATAATAACACGTAGAAGTCAATAATATTATTTTTGCCATTATTTCTACTTATTAACATGTTGTAAAATGAAATATTCTTTTTCACAATATATCTAGGTAGCAGAGATGGTAGAAGCTCGCTCCGGTATTCCCTGCATACTCGGGTTCGAGTCCCCTTGGCGCCTGTTCTTTTTAAATTGTTTAAACCTCCTCTACTTTCTCTTCTTTTGTGACCCCTACTTTCTCTTCTTTTGTGACTGTTTTAGTTTTAATTTTTTCCCTATCGCACTACATTTCTTTTACTTTTATTTTACTTTTTTATTTTTCCAATTCATAATATTTAACTTTTTTTACTTTTTCGAATATTGACATGTTATTTACATTTTCTGTTAAGTACAATGACTATAAAGTTTTAACTTAACATAACTATTTATTCTTTGCTTTAGTACAAATATGCCAAAACTTCTTGTTAATATTTGAAATATGTGACTTTAATTATATGTGTATAATTAAATTTATGTAATACATTTGCATAAATAAAACAATTAATATCCTTTTAAAAAACAAATAACCTAGAAACAACGTTAAATTGAAAAGAGAAAAACAAAATTATTATTTTCTTGATAAGTTAGTAACTTACATATACTCCGTATGGGAGTTTTAATTTATCTTCCTCTATTTGTTTCACTATATTTCTATTTAAACCTTGATATTTAAAACGAGCGTATTAAATCGAAATTTAAACAAAACTTTAAAATAAAATGACAAGTGTTTTAAATCGAAATAAACTCGCGGGTTAAGAGAAAGTCTATTGTTTTGTTTGGGCACTAGAAAACAAATATAGATGGAAATATATGTGATTGTATATGTATGTGTATGTGTGCGCTTGTCTAAATAAAGAGTCACTTCATGAAAATGAAAATATTTCTTCTTCATCCAATTTGAGATCAAATTAATCTATATAAATACATAAAAAAGAACACAGTAGAGATTATATATCTTTCCAACTCAATGATTTGATTTTTTTTCGCCCCCCTCAAATTTTGTTCTGGTTCCGCCACTGGGCGGGGATGGGGCGAGTTTGAGAGTAACGTAACAAGGGATGCGGCGGGGATGAGGGAAAGTTTTTAGAAATGGGACGGGGATGGAGAGTGAACCCCCGCCCCAAACCCACCCCAGTGCGTAAGCGTATACGTCTTCGTATGCCCCAATTTGTATGTGAAGTTGCCCGTAAAAAGTAGTGAAAAAAGTTTGAGAAAGTCATGATTAAATTTGAAAATTTGAAACACTTTCCGTGAATGTCTCTGATCCATCTTCGATTGAGAACATGCACCTACACTATATATATACCCTTAATAGAGGGTAGGACGATGTATACATGTAGTGTTTCAAACAAAGAAGTAATAATTATAT